AGATAACTTACAGTTCCCCATCTTTCAATAAAGTTGAAGTAGGTTCGTTCGGAGTAATCATCAGGTAGACCACAAACAGCAGCAGCAAAGTCCTCAGACACTGGGAATTTCTTAATTGGGGCCAAATCTAACTGATAACGAGCACGACCACGATTGCAGACCTTCTTCTCTTCATAAAACACATTTTTGTAGGTGGATGTCTCTTTAGTCATTTTCTCAAAGTCTATAAGGATGCAGTTTGTTATAAAGTTGATTACGTTATGATTATCATAAAGACATATTTTACTCCTACATAGTACTGCATTCATATATAAATCATTTTGAATTCGACACGGTTGAGTGCCTATCGCCTGATAGAAATAAACTGGCATATCATGCTGTCATTAACTACATTCAGTGAAAGGCGGCAAGGATTATACTCTTGAAGACAAGGAATACAAAGCTGATTCGCACCATGTCCGCTTAAGTGTCCTTGATAAAGCGAACTATGTTTTAAATCTTTAAATGAAGTTTATATTGCACTCACTTGAACTCAAAGTGAAAGCCACATTCCATAACCCTGCGTCATAACCACCTTTGAAAATAAACAAATGGGCCGAGAAAATATCAGAAATATCTGAATTAGATGATTTCTTTACTGGTACAGTTGAAACATGAAAAAACAAAAATACTGAGAATATAGCAAAACTCGATTTCTTCGTTTTTTACTGCAAAATATTTGTTCAGCTTTTACCGTTTCTTATTAATGTTTATGTTTGACTGAGGCAATAAAATACAAGGAACAATAAAAAATAGCTTACAGCAAATAACCCCAACAGGTGTTGATTAAAATAAACATAATAAACCTAAACTGGTTTAAAGCTTAATTTGTAAGTGTCTGTTTTTTCCAAAAAACAAAGGCAGCAAAAGCGAAATAAAATTGAATGATTGAACTTGCTAATAACCTACCATTAGCGGATACATCAACAGTAAGTTTGTTCTGATAGCTTTTAGACCCGGAGAAAACCTCGTTCTTTGTCGTAGTAACGCAAGAAGACCTTGGCGCAAAGCTGACCTGATCTGGAATCAGATACTGCCTGCCTACAGACACTTTGTTTGTGTCGTAGGATAGTTTAAACACTTTCCTTGTAAAGAGCAATCCTGGATCAATACCTCCATTGGACAGATCACCGCCATCGGGGTTTCCTTCAAGAAGATTGTAGCCGACGCCAAGAAACTGAAGACCTTTAGGAGGTTCTTGATAGGCGTTGGTTTCAGTAACAAAATAAGCCAATAAACTTGTAAGGATGAGCGCAGAGAAAGGCAACATTTTTATCAATAAATGTCAACGACAACTATGTTCCGATGAAATTGAGATCCTGTAATAGAGTTA